CGACTCAGACATGCAAAGCTGATCTGTAATTATAATGTACATTTTAAACTGTTGAATTTTATATTTCTATTTTTAATGTACTGTAGTTTTAACCTGGACATCTATTAACTATTTGAATGTATATGTTATACATTTTTAAGCTGCTTGGAGGTTTTATTTACTAGTAAGTAGTGTACAAATTCTGTTAAATAAATTTAACACAGCAACGGGAGATGCAGAGAGTTAAGGGATGTGGTCATGTCAGCTTGTCAATCAGGTGGATTTCACTCACTGTGCTTGAAATGTTCTATGAGGATTGGGGTCCTTTGTGTCAATCCTGGCACCTTTGTGCAGCTGCTGGGGCCTAAACCTGCTGAGTCCCTCTTTTACAGTATGGAGCTATTAAGTGGCTATTATTCACTTTTGCTATGGTGCCCAAGCCTGCATCAAGAATTAAGTGCTCTTACATAAAAATTCAAAGCTCCAAAAGTAATTAGAGAGATGCTGCAACTGTTAAGAGTTCTATATTATAGTATTCCATAGATACAGAAGAGCTTTTAGGCCTCTTCAACCACCTGTGCCTTGACCAGCTACATTTTGTTACACAATCTGTGGTGCATTGGAAGCAATCTACAACCTTTAAATTCCAGCCATCTATGCTCCTTGGAAGGAATGGGGTAGGCAGTCCCAAGAAGACTAAAAACTGTCTCTGCTTCCAATGTGCTGTGGTTAATCTGAAGATAAGAAACTTCAGTGTCTTCAAAATATGGTGGTCAGGTTGCTGACTGAAGCCTGGTATGTTACCACCCCCCTACCTGCTAAAACAACTGCAATGGCTCCCTGTATGTTTCTGGGTTTAGGTTCAGAGCCTCAATTTGGGTCTCTATAACTATAAATAGTTTACAACCAGTGCATCTGACTTCATTTTCCCATATGAGTCTGCCTGTGCATTAAGATCATCTGTATTCCCACCTGTGGTTCCTTGAGCTCAAGGAAAAGCAGGATATAAGTATTTTAAACAGAAGTAAATACTGTAAATACCCTAAATCTGGAATTCGTTTTACAAGTTCTTAGGTATAGGGGTTGGTATACATGTTGCTGTTTAAGCACACAGTCAAAGCTAGCAATATATGCAGTCATTACGCCACTACGGTCTTATTTCACTTAAACATCCGTAAGAGAATTGCAGATGGCTTAAGGGTTGCAGTCTTTCACTGTGAGACAGAATAAGTGATTTTTGTATCTGTTGCACTCAATGTATTGCATATGCTTTCCTTTAGACAATAAAAGAAATTTTCAGCAAATTGATTTTATTTGATTATTTGACATTCCTCCATAATGTTCCCATTTTAAACTTGAGGGAAACATTCTGAATTAATAAGATTTTGAGGAACAAGATCTAGCTTAATTAAGAGTGGAAATATGTAATGTCTGCCAGATATTTATTTCACTGTTGTGGTGCAGCAGAGATGATATATACAAAATTAAGATGTACCATTTGCTGATGACCACAAAAAGCTCTTACTGAGTGAGCGGAAGGCCATTACCAAACAGATTACTGAGTCACATACTTTCAGCCATTGTAATAAGGTTTTACTACATTACACATGTGGGAAAAGGTAAACAAACAATTAGGTTAGGGGAGAGCATGACCTACATACTTTAAAATGTCCCATTTATTGCTCAATTTTAAGAAGATGACACACTTAAAAGTTCCATTTTCCTGTCTTCTGTGTCATGAGTCTGATGCCTTATTTCCATAGCCAATTATCAGACTCTCTTTCTCTTCTTATACATTTGATCTGTTTTAGCATGTGTTTCGAAATTACAGATGCAATCCAATGCACAGTAACCTGCCTTCAACGGCAGCACAAATTGCATCACTGCTGTGTATTTGCAGGACACACATACAAGGAAAAGCAAGGAGAGAGGACAAATCTATACGAGGGAAAAGGATAATCAGAAAGAATGGGAGAGGGTATACTAGTGGCCAAGTACGTTGGTGGCCCAGCAAATAAATCACAACATCCTAAATGTGGGTGGATCCCAGATTTTTCCTATCAATTTTTGTATGTCTCTTCTGAAAGCAATTAATTTCATAAAAGACAAAACATTTGCCATTTTTGGCCCACAGTTTGACTCCCCAGGGGGTTCTTGAGCTTCAAAGCCTGCTAGGTCAAAAACAATGGTAATGAATTTAAATTTTCCTGAAATAATCCCAAAGCGTTTAAGAATGGGGTATCAGAGTTTTAACTGTTGTGCTACAGAACAGTAAATAGACGCACAACTAAAAAGTGTCATTTGCTTGTATCCTAAAAGAAAAATTACCACAGTGCAATTCTACACATGTCTATTCCAAGGTAAACACCACTGGATTGAATGGGACTTATCCCAGGGAAGAGCACATGGGATTGCACTCCCAAGTGAATTAGTATATTACATATTTTGAGTAATTGTTATTACATTTTACTATAACGTGTAGGAAGACATAAACAAATGGTTTCATTGGGGCAGACAGAAATCTACATAATTTAAAGTCATACAATTGTTACTTAGTGTCAGACAATTTGAACCTTTATTGGATCATCTTTCTGTTTTCTGTCTGATGGAGCTAAGCTCCACCTAGAAAGGAGCTTCACAAATGTAGTTCAAAGGGCCTCAGATTATACATTTTATAATCTGGTTTTCAAGAAAAGGGGCCTTCCCCCTGTTTGTTCTACCCATGCCCTAATGTTGTAGTCTTTGGGCCAAACTAGACCTACAAGACAGAAGCTTACGGATTCAGCTATGCGGTTTGGTGTGTGTTTAAAATTTTAGAGTATACAAGGGAGGAGAGCTTTAAGATGTTTTCCCCAATCTGTTTCTGATATCACAATACAACCAGCGGTGAGAAAAAGCAGCAGAGTCCAGAGATGTGAAGTGGGGAAGGAAAAGTTTCTCTCCCCTACCCTGTACATTCCTTTTACTGGATTTATTCTGCTGCTCCGATACTTTTATGCCAGCGTTCAGAACTAAAAAGCCCTTTCAAGGGGCACACACATCATTAAAAAAAAGAAAAGAAATATAGAACATTGAAGGGAAAACAGCAACAGGAGTACTGTAGACCACATAAGGCATATAAAAGGTGTTAACCTCCAACCCACTTTCCAGACAAGCTGATAAGTGCTAGTTTAACAAACACAGAGATGTCTGGTTTGGCTCTTAGTTGGTATGAGGCAGCCATGTTGTGGGTGGACCTCCAGATGTTGTTGGACTGCAGCTTCCATCAGCCCTGACTATTAGCTGTGCTGGCCAGGGCTGATGAGGGTTGGACTCCAACAACAACATCTGGAGGGCAACCAAGTTCCCCATTCCTATGTGAGAACAATCTTACAGGGGTCCATTCTAAAACTACCATCAGCAGAGATGCTTGTGGTATGAACCCCACCACCACCACCACCCATTTTCTGCAGCTGGACTATGATTTGGTTAGGTTTCTGAAATGCACATGACTTTAGATTTAGAGGAGTGTTAAGAGCAACAGAACTACAATTCTCAGCATCCCTAACAAACTACAAATCCCGTTCTTCTTTGGAGAAAGCTTCAAAAGCAGGGTGCGACCTATGAGTAGTGTTTTTATACCAGGTTGTCATATTGGCAGAATTCTGAGAGAACATCCCTGTTTAGATAGATACAAAGAAGAGTACAGCTATAACTGCACATGACTTGAAGGGCATTCATGTGAAAGGGATGCCAGCATCCTGCAATTTCAAGGACAAATACAAGGCACAATACCGTACAGATATAACACAGCACAAAGTACATGTGAAAATGCTAAACTATTAGGGGGGGATTGGTTGTGGAAGTAAAGAAATTATATCAACAATGGTGCGATATAAAAGCAAAAATGCTCCAGACACCCATATTCTCTTACATGACTTCTTTAAAGACTTATTTTTTAAAACAAATATAAAAATTCATTCTATTGTACTGGTATAAAACAACAGTGGCATCTAGTGGCTAGTGGTATTATAAAATGCCTTTTAACTGTTTTCACTAGTAATTCATTACATTCCTCTAGATTGAACTTGGATGCCTTGCAACTCCCATACTAATGAAAATATGGAGGAAAAGTTATGTTTTGAGGATATTACGCTACATATTATTCCCTGCTGGCCCGAGTTTTAAACGATTCAATAAGTTAATAGATGGTGGTGAGGGAGTTAAATCTCTAAGCTTATTTAGAAAGGAAGCATTCGCAGAGCTTGAGAACCCCTTCAACACAATAACTTCAACAGTTATTATGTTAATATAAAACAGTGTCTTATAAACCAACAATTTTGGTTTTCTGTTGACTTAATATGATGCATACTTGTTTCAAAAGCGTATTAAGGAAGAAAGATACATCTGCAGAATGTGCTCAAATTACTTCTATTAATGGGAACTGTTGGGCAAGTTCAAACACACACACACACACACACACACACACACACACACAACACACACTTACTTTAGAAGAGTGTAAGAGCAGCAGTTTCTTGAATCCAGTTTAATATTAATGTGCTGTGCTAAACTAAATGGCCATGCTCCAAATCCACACAAGAAGTTAACATCCAGGATGTTCAAGCATTCCTCACTTGCAGAAGAAAAGCTTAAGTCCCTCCAAATACTAGTTGCTGGAAATCACCAGTGGAGCAGGGAGTGTTCTTGCACTCGGGTCCTCTTTGCAGGCTTCCCATTGGCCAAATTAAGAAGATGATGCTGGACTAGATGGGCCTTTGGCCTGATCCAGCAAAACTTTTCTCATGTTCTTAATACTGTCCAAAAGAGATTGCATGTTGTTTCCTGGCTATTGCCCATCAATTACCGTATTTTTCGGCCCATTGGGCGCACCGGCCCATAGGACGCACCTAGTTTTTTGGGGGGGAAATAAAGGGGGGGATTTATTTCCCCCCCAGGCACGGGGCTGGGGTGGGGGAAGCCCGAGCTTCCCCCGACCTCAGCCCCCAGAACAGGCAGTTCTCCACAAGCCGTGGGAGAGCTGCCTGCACCCCGAAGCCTGGGGGCGCGCTGAGCTCAGCGCCCCCCAGGCTTCGGGGTGCAGGCAGCTCTCCAAAAGCCATGAGAGAGCTGCGCAACTTCGCGCAGCTCTCCCACGGCTTGCGGATAGCTTCCTGAAGCCTGCATTCGCCCCATAGGACGCACACACATTTTGGAGGGGGGAAAGTGCGTCCTATAGGGCAAAAAATACGATAATAAGAAAATACACTGCATTCAAATATTAAGCAAAGGTAGAGAAAATTTTGCTTAAATTCTCATGGGTAGGGATTCCAAGTAACTGTTCTTTTTTGAACTTAGCTTACTTTCAAGGTAAATCCCATCCTCAGAAAGGAACCTTATCTCTTCTGGTTTTCTTGTGGAGCCTTAGGAGTGTCTCCCTCCTGCTTTCCTGCAGGTAAAACATTTCCCTGCACCCAAAGGTTTTTTTCGCCTCATACCAAATGGAAGTATCACATACAAATTATGTATGCATTAATCATCCATATGCCACTATGTGTCCTGGACCCTGTTCTGTTTTAGAAATGCTTCTGAAGTTTCCAGCTAAACTAGAGGACAGAGGGAACTTCAGCACCTCTTCCTAGCCTGAGTATGTAGTCCTTCCAACTTTCTCAGACCCAGAGGATAAGCCACCCCCTCCATTTAATAAAAGCCAGTGCCTGCAGAATCATACAAGGTCCACTTAAAGTAGCACAGCCAAGGCTTTAGAGCCAACTACAATACAACTTTGCCAGTCTACTGGAGACTTCAGTTGGCTTCAGCTCGCTGCTGGGACATCTTCCATATCTCAGTCAGCAGGCCAACTGGGAGCTGTCTGTGGTCCTGACTTGCCTACAGCTTTGCTTTGCTTTGCTTTGCTTTGCTTTGCTTTGGTCTGACTCTATCTGCCTGAGGCTGAATCTAGACACATCAAAGAAGCGTTTCAGCTTCAGCGAAAACAGGTAGAGAAAAACAGGACTCCACAGTGTCACCTGGTGGCACAATGTTATATTGCATATACAATGCATATAAATCACTTTTTCTTTACCAATCCAGCTGAGTCCTGGGTGGTGGTTTCCATTTCCCCCAGTGAACTACAAGACATCTTGGCATAGCCAGGCACACAGTTTTGTAAAGAACATCTTTTCTTTTTTCAAAAATGGTGTCATGTCTGTGCAGCACCTAGCACACAGATGGCCCTTAACAGATATTAAATGGCAGCAGCAATTAAATGCTACCCATAGCTACTGAATACTATGGTTGGACTTTGTGTTTACAATTCACTTTTTCCATTATGAGGCTGCTCTTTCTTAATGATGGTAATAATATTTCAACTATAGTCATTACATTAAAGATCTATCATCTCTGGCGACATGTTAATTGGCATTAGTATTTATGACTATATAATGACACTGATAGTCAGTGAACAGTGAAAGCACTGTTATTAATATCAGCAGTTAAGATGAATATGAAAATGAAAAATGTGAATTATTAGTTGTCATTTGCAAATTTAATTACTGCTAAGGAACGCTGATTTTGACTGAGATACAGAAACCTGTGGTTGCAATACTTATATTTTAGCAAATACAACAAAAGCACTGCTTAACATTTAAGAAAAATGACAGCTCAGAAAGTATAAATGTCAACAGTGTGGTCTCACAGGTGGCTGTACAGATTTTCAAAGCATATTTCAGGAGCTTCAGAAACAAAAATAAAGTTATGGTCATAGTTACTTCCCTGTCAGTAAAGTAGATCCAATTTTCAAAACAAACACAGTGATAACTGAAAATTCCACAAAGAATACAAAGGAATCCAGTTATAACAAGCTGAGATGGAAATACAGACACACTTCCATTCTGTCACCCCTACCCCACCCCCTGTCTTCCCAATCTAAGAGTCAAAGACTTGTAGTATATGGGAATGGAGACAAATTCACATGCTGATGGATTCATTCTTGCCTGAGTCCCTAGGGATGGTATTATTTCTCTCGTGCATCTAATTACTAGTAATGAAGGTTAAGGCTTAAATTGATCCCTTAATATAGCATAATTGCATGCGTAACATTCTGATGATAAAACAGAAAAAAGAAACCAATACAGCAAACATTCAGTGATCTAAATTTAATCATTATTCAAACTCACTAGGTAGTGAATTCCTGGCTACTATAGTGTTGAAGCAATGATTCTTCAACATCAACTTCATTGGACTGGTCATGTTGTGCGGATGCCTGATGATCGTCTTCCAAAGCAACTACTCTATTCCGAACTTAAAAATGGAAAGCGTAATGCTGGTAGTCAACAAAAGAGGTTTAAAGACTGTCTCAAGGCAAATCTTAAAAAATGTAGTATAAACACTGACAACTGGGAAACACTGGTCTGCGAGCACTCCGGTCGGAGAACAGCCTTTACCAAAGGTGTCATGGGCTTTGAAGACACTCGAACTCAGAATGCAAGGGGAAAACGTGCTAAAAGGAAGGCGCGCTTGGCAAATCCACACCGTGATCAACTCCTGCCCAGAAACCAATGTCCCCACTGTGGGAGGACATGTGGATCCAGAATTGGCCTCCCCAGTCACTTACGGACTCATTGTTAAAACTGTGTTTATGGAAGACAATCTTACTTGGCTACGAGTGATCGCCAAAGAAGAAGAAGAAGACTGAGTTGGCTGTTCAGGAACTTACCTGGAGCTTAATTTCAGGGACAGCTTTTCACATGCACAAAAACACACGTATGCTTGGCCTATTTCTGCCACAGAAATTATTAGGATGAATTATAAGGATGCTCTTGCTTATATAGGAGTTCTTTTTGTGCCCGGGAATTCCTGTGGAGCTTTGGATTTGAGTGTCCCATTTCCAACCTTTACTTAACCATTTTACCAGTAAGACAGGCTAGATCCTCAGGCCACCTGGGTAAATGAGATTGGGCTTTATCTGTCAGTTCTCCTTTACACAATTAAAGCACAATCTATTCAGAAGTACATCTCAATGAGTTCAGTAGGACTTTCTCCCAGGAGTTCTAGTTAAGTAGATATAGAACTGCAGCCTAACAGCACAACCCTGTGAAAGTCTATGTAGACGTAAATCCTACTGATTTAAATAAAGCTTATTCCCAGGTTAGCAGCTTTAGGACTGCAGTTTTCTTTGGTATTCCTTTCCCCTCTCTTTGAATATTTATGTTAAGAGGGCAGCGCCATTTAAGACAGAACTACACATTTTTGAAATAATCAAATCATTAACTTATGTTTTATGTAAAAGTCTTCAAGTGCTCATTTATCAAATTGCCCAAATGTATTCAAAATTATCAATTTGCCATTGTTGTATTTTAAACTAATTGAATTAAACAGGTTTTGTTCCAAGAGTTCATGAATTGAGTGCACAATTGAATGGTAACTTCATTTTTTTCCTGAACAAAAAAAGCACTGCTAATGAACACACTGCAATTAAAGGGGAAGTCAATGTTTTCTCTAAAATGCCAACTTAGTCACAGCTCTAATGATCTGAAACAGGGGCAGGCAACCTAAGGCCCAGGGGCCGGATGTAGCCCAATCGCCTTCTCAATCCGCCCCGCAGATGCTCCAGGAATCAGCATGTTTTTACATGAGTAGAATGTGTCCTTTTATTTAAAATGCATCTCTGGGTTATTTGTGGGGCCTGCCTGGTGTTTTTACATGAGTAGAATGTGTGCTTCTTATTTAAAATGCATCTCTGGGTTATTTGTGGGGCATAGGAATTCGTTCATATGTTTTTCAAAATATAGCCCAACCCACCACATGGTCTGAGGGACGGTGGACCAGCCCATGGCTGAAAAAGGTTGCTGACCCCTGATCTAAAAGCACAGGGCACAATCTGCTGGCTCACTTCATTTCAAAGGGGACTCACACAACAAAGTATTAAGTCTGAGCTAGGTTGCCCTATTACAAAAAAGCAACAACAAAACAAAACAAAAGCTAGAGCTGAATGGTTAATTAACTGTGTGGATACAGCATAGTATGAACCCGACAACTGACTCCATAAAATGTGTCCTGCTCTGGTTAAAATTATAGAGCTAACCATAAACTAGTAGAACAATAGTAAGCTGTTGCAAAACCAACAGAAACCCTACATGCATTTGAAAGTTAAAGTACTAATACATTTGACTACATGATAATGGAAAACAGAGCTCACCATTATGCATCAAATGATAATCAGTTACAGAAATCTGTTAATGCTTGCCCTTCAAAGAAACCCATCAGGAAACTCTATCGAAATATATGTGCAGATCACGAAAGGAAATAACAAAAGGGTTAGCTGAGATCCTTTTTTTTTATATAATAAAGACACTTTGACAGATTTCCTGACCTCATTTTTATGAATATGAGTATCAAAATAGTCAAAAGCTATGGATATATCTATATGGAGGGTGTTATATTCAATCTGGGCTTGAAATGTATACGCTGCAGCCAATAGCAAAGGTTGTGTCCACGAAATTCATTATCAGATTTGTGCGTAAATGCCATGATATCATCACTTAGGAGCGTATAAGTCATTTCACATAATATAGTTTTATGCTACCCTGCTGGAGTTCATTTGCAGATAGGCTATACTATAATGAAAAGAGAATTCATAATGATGCCTCAAGACTCTGAGATGCACAGAAAGGGATGCAATTCCATACAAAAGCCAAGTGTCACGTTCAGAAACATCCATTTGTGCCATACCATAGCAGGAATTATTGCAGAAATCTAGTCTTCCAGATCCCAAACAAAATAACTGGGAAATTACACTCATTGATTGAAGTAGAATTTAATTGCTGAATGAGGATGCCACTTTAATTCCCAGTCCTATGCTCCACTGCTGTCATTTAAATAGCAGAAGTTAAAGCATGGGAACACGACTGGGTTGCCAGTGGAACAGTTTGCATTTTTTCCCGTACAAGGTAAGAAAACACTGCATATAAGAACATACATCTCACAAAGCATATGGATCTGTTATGAATGAATTCAAATCTACTGTGTTTTTGATAGTGGCTCCCAGTTCCTACTAAAATGTCAATCCCATTGGTGCTGTTTTAGGCTCTGGGCTTAATGGTTTAACA